ATTGAGCACCAGCCTGAGAACCAAAGGGTCGCTGGTTCGATTCCTAGTCAGGGAACATTCCTGGGTTGCAGGCCAGGGTCCCAGTTAGGGGCGTGTAAGTGGCAACCACACATTAATGTTTCTCCCCCCCTCTTTCTCCCTTCCTTCCACTTTCTCTAAAAATAAATAAAATCTTTTAAAAAATTAAATCATAAATGTAATAAACGTTCATCAAAACTCTACTTCCCAGTTATTTTACTGCATTTTATTATTATCTATGTTCTTGAGCTTATTCATGCATATTTTGCCTATGTTAGAAATAGTAAATAGTAGTGTGCTGCTGCGCACCTCTTTCCGTCTCTGGGTGCAGCGATTTCATGTTGGTAGCTGGAAGTTAACCATGGTATTTGCACCGTAGAAATTAGGAAGTGCCATAAATCAGGAAATGTTAAATACTTTATTTATTGACTCGAGAGAAGGAGGAAGGGAGAGAGAAACATTGATTTATTGTTCTGCTGATTTGTGCATTCATTGGTTCATTTTCTGCATGTTTTATAATTGAATTTATTGGGGTGACATTGGTTAATAAAATTATATAGTTTTCAGATATACAGTTCTACAATACATCATCTGCAAATTGTATTGTGTTTTTCCCACCCGAAGCATTGGTTAATTCTCGTATGTGCTCTGATGGGAGACTGAATCCACAGCCTTGGCATATGCAGATGATGCTCTAACCAACTGAGCTGTCTGGCCAGTGCAGGAATTATTTTCTGGAGGTGGGGAAGCCTTGTGAGTAAACGTTTATCAGCACACTACTGAATACAGTGTTCTTTTATATTTTGTGTATTTGAGGATGTTTTATTCCATATCTTTCTTTCAAAAAACATATATTTATAAGATGATTAAAAGACTGGAAACATAAAACCACTTATTTCATTATTATAATAGGTACGCTAATTAAAAAAATATTTAATTAAAAATATTTAGAATATTTTTAAAAATTTTTAAAGGATTTTAATTATTTTTTTACAGAGCGGGAAGGAGAAGTAGAGGGAGAGAAACATCATTGTGTGGTTGCCTCTTACAGGCCCCTCACTGGGGACCCAGCCAGCAACCCAGGCATTGTTCCCTGACCAGGAATTGAACCAGCGACCCTTTGGTTTGCAGGCCAGCACCCAGTTCACTGTACATTAATTTTTCATCCATAGGGATATATGACTGAAATGAAAACAAAGCACATTAAATAAAATGCAAAAGAACAAGCAAATATTTTTCATATATTTTAAGGTGTTTCGGACCCTGAATAGATAGTAAACATAAATTAATTACATGTGTGCATAGTGAGGGATTGTGTATGTGTGTGTATGTCCACACAGTTGATTGTCATTATTTGGGGATTCTGATTTGGCATACTCTCTAAAATGTATTTGCAGCCCCCAAATCAATACTCACAGTGCTTTTGCAGGCATTCCCCAACATGTGCAGAGGGGTGAAAATTTTGAGTTGCCTCGTCATACTTTCCTAGCTAAGGTTCATGCCTTCTGCCTTCTTGTTTCAGCTCTCAGACTGTAAACAAATGTCATTTTTGTGGTTCATTTAGTGCCACATGTTTTGCATTTTTGTATTTTTTGTTGGTGATTTTGCTGCTTAAAATGACCCCTGAGCATAGTGCTGAAGTTTAATGTTACTACCTACAGGAACGCTGTAGTGTGCTGTACAGAGAAAATGCATGTCTAGCCCTGGCTGGTGTGGCTCGGTGGAGTGAACACTGGCCTGTGAACCGAAAGGTCACTGGTTTGATTCTCAGTCAGGGGCACCTGCCTGGGTTGCAGGCCAGGTCTCCAGTTGGGGGTGTGCAGGAGACAACCAATCCCTCACACATCCATGTTTCTCTCTCTCTCTCTCTTTCTCACTCTTTTCCCCTATCTCTAAAGGTAAATAAATAACATTTTAAAAAATAAGTACATGTTTAGATAAGTTTTGTCCTGGTATTAATTTATAGTGCTGTTGACTATGAGTTCAGGGTTAATGAATCAACAATATAGTGTATTAAATAATGTATCTTTAATAAAAGACACATGGACAATAACAAGGGGGGTAGAAACCGGAGGGAGGTGGGGAGGTCTAGGGGGTGGTCTGGGATGGGGGTAAAAGGCAGAAAACTGTACTTGAACAACAATTAAAATAAAATAAAATAAAGTGTCTTTAAACAGAAACACTTAAAACAAGGTATGTGGTATGTATTGATTGGCTGGGGAAAATTTTGTGACTAGAGGCTAAAGGAAACTAACCCTGCATTTCCCCCCGGAGCAGTGGTTTAGTATTTGCTAATTCAGTGTTTGTGAAGATTTTATAGAACATAACTACTGCGAATAACAAGAATCTACTGTATATATACACACATTTGTAATGTATGACATATGTAACTACAGGTCTTCAAAGAACTAGACTATGATAAACTGCTCAATACTAAATAAATATATACAACATGCAATTTAATGTTTTTCTGATGGTTCAGATGGTTCATAAAATACATAAATATTCCAGATATTTATGAATATGCAGAAGTTCCAATTTATATAAATGTGTTATATTTTAAAGATCATTTTCTTTTTAGTTTCTTTGTGATTTGTTAGCATTAGAGAAATAGCTTATATAGTTATTCCTCTGATGAGTGTACTGTTTATATGGACATTTATTAATAGAGGTCGCTTTCTTATTCCACCCAGATTATATATATGAAGCTTTAATGAACACTTCTATCGACATAGATTCACTAGAAGCAGACTCACAGTTAGATGAAGTCTGGATCAAAGAAGTAATAAAGAAGGCAGGGATGAAATTAAAATGGAGCAAATTGAAACAGGAGAAAGTCAGAGAAAATAAAGATGCTGTGAGAAGGTAAAACATAACCATATAATGGGGGAAGGAGACCGTATAGTTTTACTCACACTTTTTAATGGAAAGAGTTGCCTTAAAAATTTTTTTTGCAGTTAAAATCATGTTAAACTTTTCTTTGAAGTGCTTAAAGCATCATTATGTTCAGGTTATTATAGAACTTTAAGGGTTATTTTTCCAGGTTTTCCAAGTATGTATATTGATCCTCAACTTAAAAAATGTATTCATTTCTGCTCATTATTATGAAGATGCCAGCTGTAGGTGGGCAGTCATGTATTTTGTCGTAAGTTGTATGCATAGAAGAGCAGATGATGTCTAATCAGAGCTGAAGGTTGGTGGTTTTTATTGTTAATGGTAGTTCACAGAGTAACTGCAAGTTAGTTCACTGGCTATAAACTGTTGTGGTGTTTAAAAAATGGCACTCCTTTGCTGTTAATTTTAGGCCCCAGGCAGATCCAGCTTTATTAATCCCAAGGTCCCCAGTTGTTACAATAATGGGCCATGTCGATCATGGGAAAACAACACTACTTGACAAACTGCGAAAAACTCAAGTGGCAGCCATGGAAGCTGGAGGCATCACTCAGCACATTGGCGCCTTTCTTGGTATGAACACAAATTATTTTAACAGTGTGCTTAGGAACTCCACAGATTATTTTCTTAAAGCTAGTGTCGTAGTGTGAAATAGACCAATGCAAAGTAAAAGGAAGGCTAAAGAGTAAAGCCATTGGTTTGATGAAATATAGAGGAGGTGGTTAATAAAGGTCCTTTTGTACATTCTATAAGAAGAAAATTATACTACCTTTTTATTCTACCTCGTTCTTCAGTGCTAGCTTGTGATAATGTTGCTGATAATAATTAAAAATAATAGCTACCATTAGGTAGGTATTAATATTCCTACGTACAGGTAAGAAGGCTGAGATTTGTTTAGGTTAAGTTACTTGGTCAAGGCGCACAGCTACGAAGTGGCAAAGCCATATTGAAACCGAGGCTTTTGGACCTGGATCCTGAGCTACCAATTGTATACTAAATTGCCTTTGTTGTTAGGGCAGTTGTGCAGCTGATGTTTGCTGATGCAGGGTGGCTGCCTACATAGCTCTCACTGTATTCTCTCTCCCGAATATACACAAGTTGGTATGTTTATGGAAGTAGTTATATTTTAGAAATATGAAGAGTTTTGGTTTGAAATCATTACATGCAAAGAAACCCTTACAGGTCTCACTAGTACGTTATCACTTTTTGCTGTGAAATTATGATCCGTATTGTTCTGATTAAGATTAATAGAAAGAATAAAATTATTTTAAAGAATTAATTGTGTTTGATAATGTCACATATATTTCTTCATATTAAGGAAGTATACATTTGAGTTCTTAGTCTTCTTGGATTTCTGTTTCCACAGTCTCTCTGCCTTCTGGGGAAAAGATAACCTTTCTTGATACTCCTGGACATGCTGCTTTCTCAGCAATGAGAGCCAGAGGTGCTCAGGTCACTGATATTGTCATATTGGTTGTAGCTGCAGATGATGGAGTAATGAAACAAACTGTAGAATCTATTCAACATGCCAAAGATGCTCAAGGTACTGTGTGGCGGTGGCTGACTTACAGGAGACGCTGTTCTGGGGTAGTGCACATGTAGCTCACTTAGTCTCCATGGAAATCTCAGCATTATTATACCTGCTTCTACAGATAAGACCATTGAATTCTTTTCCCACTGATGTAACTACTAAGAACAGCGTATCAGGATTCAATTTGGGACTTGTGAATACAACCACAGTCCTTTCTATACTATTTACTTGGCATAGTGTGACACTGTTAACAGTCTCAAATAACTTTTAAAATAACTTTTTATCATGGAAATTTTTATTAGATATAAAAGTAAGAAGAGAATAACAAACTCCTTTCTACCCATTACCTGAATTCATTAGAAGTTGCAAAGTAGTGATATTCTAATTCTGTTATTCCTTGTTCATGTATTATCTTGACTTGTTTTCTAAAAAGAAACAAGAAACATCCTCTCATATACTTTCAGCAAATTCTCATTTGGTCAAAGGTATAAAATAGAAACTTTCAAAAAATTACTTGGCTATTTTCTCCTTATTTTTCCATTTAAAAATTGTAACACAGCGGGTGTGCTCAGAGCAGGGGGCCCGAAGAAATGGCTCTTCAGTTTACAACACACCCAACAGAAACTCGGGGTCATCGTGTGGAGGGCACAGAACTCGTGCCCTTCCTGTGAGCAAACACCTCTACATGTGTAAAAAAAAAGAAGAATTGTAACAGGTACATTCTCCACACATTCATTTTTATTCTGATATGACATTGTACCCACTGTGCAAATGCTGTCCTCTTCAGAAAATGTACCTGATGGATGCATCACATTCCCCTAGGGGTTTTGGTAAGAAAAAAAAGGTTGAGAATCACTGATTTAGTTAAATTCTTTTCATCTCACAAAATGAAAACTAAGACCTAGAGAGTATCAGGAACTCCCCATTGCAGTTAATTTGCAACATGTTTGTATTAGGAATCTGATCTTCAAGTTTTCAGTGTGATTCTCTTCCCTTTTTAATTTCTCAAAATTGCCTTTGTGGAGTGAACTATGTTCTTAATAGTTTTAGGGAATATAACAAAAAGAAGAGAGTGATAAATTTGCTGGGGATCTCAGCAGACAAGTTTATTAAGCTATGTGATAAATTCTATATATCATGCATTTTTTTAAATTCAATGTGATTGATTGTGCTATTAACAGTTGTCTCATTCCCCCCCCCTTTGTTCCCCCTCACACTCTCAGACAATCCCCACACCACTGTTCATGTTCATGGGGGCTCTTTGGCTACTCCATTTTCTATACTGTACTTTGCATCCCCGTGGCTCTTCTGTAACTACCTATTTGTACTTCTCAATCCCCTCACCTTTTTATCCATCCCCTCCCATCTGGCAACTATCAAAGTGCTCTTCATATCCATGATTCTGTTTCTGTTGTTTGCTTAGTTTGTTTTTTAGATTCAGTTTTTGATAGATATGTATTTAGTGCCATTTTATTATTCATAGTTTTGATCTTCTTTTCCTTAAATAAGTCCCTTTAACATTTAATTTAATAATGGACCCTGGCTGGCATAGCTGAGTGAATTGAGTGCAGGCCTGCGAACCAAACAACTGCAGTTCGATTCCCAGTCAGGGCACAAGCCTGGGTCTCAGGCCAGTTCCCAGCAGGGGATGCACCAGAGGCAACCGTACATTGATATTTCTCTCCCTCTCTTCTTCCCTTCCCCTCTGAAGATAAATAAATAAAATCTTTTAAAAAACCCATTTAATTTAATAATGGTCTGGTGCTTTTAAGATTCTCTCTTTATCTTTGACCTTTGGCATGTTCATTATGATGTGTCTTGGAGTGGGCCTCTTCTCATTCATCTTGTTTGTGACTCTGTGCTTCCTGGACTTAGGGAAGTTTTCTTTTATTATTTTTTCAAATAGATTTTTCCCATTTCTTACTCCTTCACTTCTTCTGGCACCCTTATGGTCTGTTAGTTGGAATGTTTGAAGTTGTCCCAGAGACTGTTTATACTATCATCATTTTTTTTTTTGATCCTTTTTTCTTCTTGTTGTTCTGATTGGTTGTTTTTGCTTCTTTATGCTCCAAATCATTGATTTGATTCTCAGCTTCATCTCCTCTACTGTTGTTTCCCTGTAAATTGTTCTTTATTGCCATTAGTGTATCCTTCATTTCTGACTGGATCATTTTTATGCTGCTGAGGTCCTCACTAAGTTCCTTGAGCATCCTTATAACCAGTATAACCATCCTTATAAGCATCCTTATAAGCATCCTTATGTCTGCATCTGATGGATTGCTTATCTCCATTTCATTTCACTCTTTTTCTGGAGTTTTGATCTGTTTCATCTGGGCCATGTTTCTTTGCCTGCCATTTTGGCAGCCTCCTTGTGTTTGTTTCTATATACTAGGTAGAGCTGTTTTATCCCTCTGTCTTGGCCTAATGTAGCAGGTGTCCTGTAGGGTCAGTAGCACAGCCTCACCTATCACCCAAGCTGTGTACTCAAGGTGTGCCCTCCATGTGGACTGAGTACACCATCCTCTTGTAGTTGAGCCTTGATTTCTGTCAGCAGATCAATGGGATGGATTCACCCAGGCCAGTCAGCTGCAAGGACTGACTTTAACCACTGACTTCAACCACTGACTTCCAACTTCTGCCCTCCGCGGAGGATCAGCTGTGCAGAGCAGGGTGGTGGTGCTCTGATAGGTTTGTAGCTGTTCACTGGGTGCACAGGCTTTGGAGTTTCCTGGGTGGTGCAAGCCAAGGTCAGCAACCACCTGTGTTCTGTCCAGGGTCACACTGCACAAGCTATTAAGCAGTCTGAGATGGCTGCTACTTGTGCTGGGCTAGGAGATTGCCAGGTGAAGCCATGCTGTGATTCTAAGCTGGCAGCTGCTACTGCTGTGCTTGGGGCCACTTAGAAGAGGTACGGGCATTTGGGGCTCTGTGGCTGGCTATTGCATTTTTGAGAGATTTAGGAACTTGTAAAGCATGAGCCAAGACAAGCCATTTATATGGAAAAGTCATGGTTAACAACTTGGATGGGCCTGTAAGTTGGGTAGGATGGAGTCTCTGGGCATCTCCAGGGCAAGGTAAACATTGTTAGCCAGGTTGATGGAGTCTCAGATATGGCACCCACCTGCCAGCCTGTGCCTCTGTATGGGGAGGGCTCAGGAAAGGGACCATGGCCTCTGCCTGACTTTCTGTCTGAGAGAAAGCTGTCCCCTGGCTCCTCCCTCAATGCCACACACTTCAGTTCCCTACTGTATGCCACTCGTGCCTTTCAAGCTGCTTCCCTGGTGCTTGAGCTCAGAGGAAGTGAGTTTGATTAAGTACATTTGTAGTGTCTTTAAAGGAAACTGCTTGGGACTCCAGAAGTTTCTTCCACTGACTCAGTACCTTCTGGCTTTTGCAGCTGGAGATATAGGGACTTATCTTCATGGCACTGGAACCCTGGGCCGGGTGGCCTGGTATGGGCCTAGGACTCCTTGCCCTCAAGATATCCCTCTCAAGTTTTTATCCACCACGTGTAGATATGGGACCCACCCATTCCACATCTCTTCCCCTCCTACCAGTCTGAATGGATGTAGTTTCTTTAATTCCATAGTTGTCAGACTTCCATTCAACTCGATTGCTGATGGTCTGAGTGATGGTTGTTCCATAGATTAGGTGTAATTTTGATGTGGTTGTGCAAGGAGGTGAGTGTGTTTACCTGTGCCACCATCTTGACCCGAAAATCTCTATCATGCTTTCACTTGTTCTCTTGGTCCTTGTTAATTTCCAGTTCATCAAGATGGGATGTACTTTTTCATAGTAGTAGGTTGTGGATTGCATAGCTATTTTGTGTGTCTGTTTTCAATTTCTGTTCCTTTGATACCTGAGAAAATTGTAGAGTTGGTGAAACCCAACCAGAGAAATATCTCCTAGAATTTTGTGTGATTTTTCTTATGAGAGGGTATGTTTAGTAATGACAAGTAGTTTATAAGATTATTTGGTTCATTCATTAAGTAAACATTTATTGAGAATCTATTCCTATGTGTCAGTCACTGAGCTAAAGTATGAATAAAGAGTTGCTGTAAATCCTAAAGGAAAGTTCACAGTAATAATACCTAATTTCCAGTGTAAAATGTTAGGTTTTAGCAATGAGTCAGTAGTTTCTGGAAAGAAGAAGCAAATCATCTAGTGGCATTAGAATTGAATGAGGCCCTGGCTGGTGTAGCTCAGTGGATTGAGCATGAGCCCACGAACCAAAAGATCGCAGTTCAATTCCCACTCAGGACACATGCCTGGGTTGTAGGTTAGTTCCCAGCAAGGGCCAGTTCCCAGCAGGGGATGCACGAGAAGCAACCATACATTGATATTTCTCTCCCTCTCTCCTTCTCTTCCCCTCTAAAGATAAATAAATTAAATTAAAAAAAAAAGAATTGAATGAGAATCTTCTCTTGATTTTTTTCTGGAGATTATTTCCAGTATAGTTGCTGATCTTGCTTTCAGGCTTAAGGGTAGGCCTTTCTCTACCCAACATATCTTTTTGTTTTGTTTTTGTTTTGTTTACAATCACCTTAGGTGCCTATTGTTAATTCAGAATCTGCTTATAATTACAGTTTTGACATTTCACATCTGGAATCCTTTATATGTAGAAAGCAGAGCACAGTGGACCTAAAGCAAGTCTTTTTAGGTCTTTGTTAAGTAAGTACATCCACTGAGTAAAGAGAAAGCGAGAAAAGATTGGTGTCTTCATTGTGAATACCTGGAATTGAAGGTGTCATCATTTGAACTCTTATAACTTTGTCTCTTTCAGTGCCTGTTGTCCTTGCCATAAACAAATGTGACAAAGCTGAGGCTGATCCTGAAAAAGTGAAAAAAGAACTGCTAGCTTATGATGTGGTGTGTGAAGATTATGGAGGTGACGTACAGGCAGTGCATGTCTCCGCACTCACGGTAAAGGCACAGGCAATAGGTTCAGTCGGGAACACACACAGTGCATTATACCTAACTAACATTTTGACATACATTTCTGTTGTTTAAAAATTCTCTGGGTACTAGACAAAGCTGGTATCTGGTTTGGCAGATTAGAAGTTAGGCTCAGAAAGGTCAGTCCCAGTCCAGGGTTACATAGCTGATCTGTGGGTAATCGAGTCTAAACCTGATGTCGTTCTTATTATAGATACTTAGAATGAGGAGAATAAATGATGAATGATGTGGGGATAGGGTATTAGCAGCCTAAAGAATGTTTTAAGCAGAAATGAAATCCAGTTGATAATAAAAAGTGCTTGATTTATAGTGAAAAACTAAAGAGGTCTTAGGGCATTCAAGAAAGTTTTAAATAAATAAAAATTTTCCTAGAACAAAGGTGAAACATTTGGGTTCAGTTTGTAAGTGACTGACTTAGTGTTTCTATGAATTAAATTGTTATAAGTTTTCTAATGTTATTAGGACAAATTCTATTCTCTTTTAAATTACCAGTTACTGTTTTCTGGTTGAAAAACACCAAGGAAGCTTACTACCAGCTTTGTGACAGCATTTTCCAATTCTTTTATCCTATGCAGTTGCTGCTAAGTAACAATTTCTTTTTTTGTTCATTCTTATGTTCCATGGTTTACTCATAATACAGACATTTTCCCCCCCTAAGATCATTCACTGAGGGATGGTCCTGTATTTGGCCACATTCTTTCGGGTAATTTTCATTTTATCTTTACTTTTTCTA